TTCCCCCGGATAAGCTGGAGGAGGTGGCTGGGGAGAGGGAGGTCTGGGCCTCTTTGCTTAGGCTGCTGCCCCCGCGACCCGGCCCCGGACAAAGCGGATGAAAATGGATGGATGGATGGATGTATATAATTCACTCACTTACTGCACACAATGGCCTCTTTGTATATATTTACTTACTTACTGTATATGATGTTTTTTCTCTCTATTTTTGCACAGTCAAGGAGCGTATCAGGACACATTTCACTGAGTGTTATACTTGTGTACTAGTATGCACGTGACAAATACAAGATCTTGAATGATGCAGATTCCGACTGTTGAATTAGGAGCGAGTTCTTCAAGAGGATCAGTTGGTAGGAAAAATGTGTTCAGTCACCAATGTCAAACTTTAATACGAATTCTCATTGAGCTCATCTCAGATGTTTATCCTTTGGGCTGAAATTGCCAATTTGGCAACACGGTGGGGAGGCAACAGCCTGGATGCTGCTGTCAAAACAGTGGAGATGATTTTGGACTTCAGGAGGAACCCTGCCCCATCATCCTGACTGCCCAGTGAACATTGACGAGTCTTTCTCCCACGACTTAAAGTGGAAGCTAAATGTCTGTCCAAAAAAAAAGGCAACAAAAAAACCCCCACACATCGGAGGATCCATGTCCTGTAGCTACTGGAGAAATTCAACCTGCATACGTCAGAAGTGGTGTACTTTTACTCCTCTATGACTGAATCCATTCTCACTCATTTACCCCATAGAAATTTCCACATCTCTACAGCACTCCATATATGTTTTATATTTTATATAATATATTCTTATTTTTCTGAAACAAACTGGTTCTGACTGTAACAACAATAACCCTGAAGCCACAGAAACATTAAAAAAGTATTAAAAGTCACATTTTCTTTGGTTACAACCGAAGCTCAGCTTAGAAATGATTAGAAACTAATAAAAAAATAATATTGTCAATCTATTGTCAATTGAGGAAATCTCATAATGACAAATCTCTTGACCTTCAGAGTTTCTTCTTCGCTGGATGTTTATTTTAGAGTAAATTCCAAAAGTTTGCTGTTGACTGCTGGGGTACAAATGTCACACGCCCACGTGACTGTGTTTGACCCCTCATTTTATCTTTAACCTTTTAGCCTCCTGCTTTGTTTACACTCATTCGTGTTTTCTACACCGTCACACAAATACACCACCACACCTCATTTTTATCTTTCATATACAGGAGTATATGAGTTTTTATAAAAAGTATATTTGATTCAAGCCTATAGAAACTGCTGAAGGTCAAGGTAGAGTAGAAACCTTATCCAAACAAAGTAAGGATGAACAGTCAGTGTTTAATTTGCAAAATAAAAAGACATTTCTTTTTTCTTTTGGTTGCTACAGTTGCAGAAATATGTAAGGACAAGCTTTCTCAGACAAACAGTTACAAAACCATACAAATGTCAGTACTGTTTGTACAGACAATCAGCACTGATAAGGCCAGACAAAAGAAATGACCACTATAAAACTGCAATAGGAACCACAGATAAAACAAATATTTTACCTACGTTTGATAGCAGCAGCATCAAATCTCTACTGTGCTTGCCTGAGTTCAACTGTGGTATTCAGCCTGAAATGCAGACATGGGCTCGATTGGCTGGTCGTGGGAGCAACATCGTTTTTTAATGTATCAATGTCTTTCACTTCCATTTGCTTTCTTATTTTATTTTCTTGCAAAACGGGGGCATCTATCCTTGACATACAGGTATGTACAGTATAATTATGGCCTATGAGTCCACTGATTGATTGCATCATACAATGATCTGTACTACATATACAAACACTGTAACATCTGGATTGTAAATACTATCAAATGGATCACATATTTGAGTAAACATATCATTTGGTGTTTTTTTTTACTATATGAATCAGTGTGTGTGTGTGTGTGTGTGTGTCTATCTATATATCTATAGATATATAGATATATACACTCATACACACAAATCTTACTCTTTAGCCATTTTATTTGTTATGTTTTTGGTTTAAGGTGAGAAAATGTTACAAAAGGACATTAAATTTTTGACATCATCAGCTGAAAGAAATTTAGCTTATAGTGATACATTGCATGTCAAAAAAAAACTGTATCATCAAACTAGAGAAGCTGCCACCTGAAATAAATTATTTGGTATTTACTAAACAAAAACAAAAAAAAAGCACTGATTAACTGACCAATCATTGTAGTTTTAGTATTCAGGATGGTCTAAGGAACTTGTAAAGAAAAGTGTCTGAACTTCTTTAAGTTGCTTGAGGATGTTTCATCCGAGAAGCTTCTTCAGTTCTCGGTTCAAATGGTGGAGTACCATATTTAAGCCCTGTGGGAGTGTCCCCCCCAAGAGGGACAATGGACCCCTTATGATCCTTTGCACAATCAGCCAAAGTTTCAGGTGAGCTCATTGTAAAATGTAGCCCCACCCTTTCCTGAGGTCAAAAACTTTGGCTGATTGTGACCCACACCCGTTGTCACATCTTGGCTTCATGTGATTAGGCAGATTAGGGTTTAAATCTGGGAAGCTCCACCATTTGACTCTAAAAATGAATACGTTTCTCAGATGAGAGGTGAAACGTATTCAAACAACTTAAAGCTCCTTAGACTACAAGGACCTGGATGACTGAGAACCTTCAGCATGATTTCCCCTCTATAGGTACCTGTTTGTTTCTGCTGGAGGTAGTGTCCTGGCAGTCTTCACGATGGGCATCTACAGCACCCTCCTGTTCACCTCCACACTTGCCTTTGTTCTACTCGTGTGCTGTGTGGATAACAGCTGTATCCACACCTGGGCATTTGTTATGCAGATGTTGTGGCAAACCTTCTGGCACCTACTTATACAGTACAGGGAATACTACCTGCACGAACCAGTCAGCATCAGGTATCAACTTGATTTCACTCTGCCATTACAAATTACATAAACATATGGGACAGTTTTCATGCTATATCCTCCTAACCTTTCGTAAGTGAATATTCTCTAGGGTGTACAGATGTATGAATCAAGCCTGTTCAGAGTTAGGATGTTGTATAAAATATAAATAATGCAGCATGCAGTGATTTGTATGGTATCTCTATGGTATTTATTTTTAAAAAATATTTAAAACCCCTCTCTCTTCTATAACAAGTTACAGAAAGTTGGCACCTTTAAAAAGAATGAGGACCTGTGACCAGAGCAGTACATGTTTGGATACTTTAAGAAGGTGCAGTTCATGTTTAGCACATATTTCAAAATCAAGTATCCGTGATGGTATCCAGGCATCGATTACCTTCAAAGGTATCACTAATGCTTAATAGTATCTACTAGGTTTAGAACAACAGAGACAACGGCTTTTTTAAGAAAGATCATATTTACATAAGAAAGAACACATTTGCATCATGAAATTAGAAATATAACAATGTAGAACATAAAATCGTCATTTGAATTTAGTACCAAATCACAAAAGTGAGGTCTTTAAGTTGTAAGGCAATGACCCTACAGTATTAGAGAGAAAACCACAACAATCAGATGATACCCTATGGGCAAAGCACTTGGTGATGGTGGGAAGGTAACCCTTCCTTTTAACAGGAAGAAGCCTCCAGGGAGGGACAGATGTCTGCCACAACGGTTGGGAGATGAGGTGAAACTCCTGAGCAATTTATCTTGCTCTTTCAATTATATAAGCTATGTTCTGATCTTTGATAGGATTAGAACACAGCACAGTCCCTTCAGTTTTCAAACGCGTACAGGGTTGTAAACACAGTGGCAAAAATGTTCCTAATCACACTTTTATGAAATATGTCAAACTCAAAACGACCATGTGTTTTTCAATAAAACAATCCGTTGCTTGAAGCATTCAACCACATCACGTGGTTTTAGCAGCCTGTTGACTTTGTTTCGTTTCCAAGAATTGTTATGTTGTTGCCTAACCTTTCAGATGCCGTTTCCAAGAATCAACTTTGTGTGATCACAGCTCTAGAACAGCTAATGTACTAAAAAGACTCTGATATGAATGTCAGAGGCCATTTCTTCACCATTATAGATGAACTCTTAGCCTAAGTTAGACATAATGTTTTTACATCTAAAGTAAAAACATTATATGTATACAGATATCCTATTTAATCACAGCAATATCTCTTTCACTTTCAGACTGTTCTTGGCAGTGTCCACTTTGATGCTGCTCACCCAGAGAATCACCTCTGTGTCTTTGGACCTTCAGGAGAAACAAGTCGTACTGACACCATCCAAAAGGCAGACTTGTGTCACGCTTCTCCCTCTTATCAGCTACATCCTCAATTTTACCACACTGCTTGGTGGTCCTTTGGGTTCCTATGGACAATTCATTACTCTAATGGAGGGGATCAACCTCACCTCACCACCCAGTCCTCCTGGTGTAGTTTTCCTAAAGCTGATGCAAGTGTTAATGCTAGAGTGGGTTAGATTTTATCTTGTCTTTTTTCTGAAACATCTTATCCATGATTTCAACCCTGGCATCCTCTATGGCATCCTGTCGACCTGGTGTCTTGGACTGGTTTTAAGAATACAGTATTACTCTCACTGGAAGATCAGCGAATGCCTCAATAACGCAGCAGGGTTTGGCTTTTGGGTAGATTCATCTGGGGACTATTTCTCCAAATGGAGCGGACTATCCGATGGGGACTTCTGGACCACTGAGGCATCGATATGCATGTCACAGTTTGCTCGTCGCTGGAACGTCACAACAGCTTCATGGCTGCGTAGACTAGTTTATGCAAGGCACAAACACTTCCCACTGTTCATGTGCTTTGGTTTTTCACTGTGGTGGCACGGTTTACACTTAGGACACTTTGTGGGGTTTTTCACCTGGGCAGCAACAGTGAAAGCAGACCATCATATTCACAGGAACCTTTTCCCAAATATTACACCGACACAGAGAAAAATCTACACTTTTGTAAACTGGATAAACACTCAAATGATTGTTACCTGCATTGTTATAGCGGTAGAATTTAGAAATTCGTCTGGTTTGAGACTTTTATCCAAAACATACATAGGTCTTTTTCCACTTGTTAATATAATCCTGCACTTTATCGTTTTAAACCTCAATTCACTAGAACAGTAGTCAAACAAAGATATATTATTAAAGCAAAAAGAACGTTGACTTTGGCTTCAGGAACATAACATATAACTGGGCTTAGATTATAACACTTTCTACGTTTCAGATGCAATTATAAAACTCTAATTACACCCCTACCTCTTCTATATGAATTAAGAGGGTAAGTAGCAGCCACATGCTGTTAATCAAAAAACAAAAGCAAAAGCAAATGTGATCACCTCTATGAAAGCGGTTGTTTCAGCGGTTTCTGGGTCGGAGCATTCAGATGTAATATGGGCTACATCTCAGACTCTCATGGCAGTACAATTTTGACTGAACAGTTGTGGCTTGTTTGCCAGAAGAAAGATCTCTTTCTAAAAAGAAAGCAGCAGTTTAGGTTTGCCAAGTTTCAACTGAATGACACACAAGAAAAAAACCAAAAAAAACCAAACCCAACATGGCCATAATGCACAGAACTACGTTTGGCAAAAACCAAAACACAGGATGCCGAGGACCTGGACACCTTACATTCACTGAGTCGACCTTCA